CCCAAACCATTCCATGATTCTAAGGGTTTCTTGAAGCTCACATTAGTGTGTTGAGTGTGTCAGAAAGCTCTTACCATCAATTCTTTGCAGCAGGTCGTTCTTTGGAAGTGAAATAACTTCCACAAATTCTAGAAGAAAAAAAAATTAAGCACCTTTAATTTATTGAAGAGTAGAGGAGGTCTACCTCAGTGTCCTGTTTCTACAACTTGGGAGGGGAAACAAACTGGCTGAATGCTCATCACCATCCAAAAGCTGTGAGCCTTCATGTAGGATGAAAAGGTTGATTAAATGAGGGATGGCAGTGACTGGGGGTCATTAAAAAACAGGTTTGGCAGAAAGGAACTGGGAAAAAGCTGGGAAAAACTCAGAGTAGCTGACAGCTCTGGAGGATGACAATCCTCCTAAAAGGACACCTCCTCCCTTCTGAGAATGGAAAATGCACTGTTGAAGTGGACTTTGGTTTGGCTGATACTGGTACAGTAATGGACTGTAGATGGGTTCGAAGAGCAAGACAGCACAAAGATAAAGGGTTTGTTCTTGATGAGTTCGTGTTGGCTTACACCTCCCCTGGCCACCTGAATCAGCTGTCTTTGGGGCTTGATCTACAGCTGCTGTGGATTCAGTAATTTGTGTTTCCTGAGATACTGGTGCTATAGGTGCAATATTTAAAGATAACTAATGAGATAATGCCCCACAGGAATTTTCATGTCTAGGCCAAAGCCAATCCCTTGCATGTTTGATTAGGATCAGGGGATTAACCAAGCCCAAATAAAAAACAACAGTTTTAACTGACATTTTCTAAGTAAAACTTGCCATATGAAGATCAAACTTGACTTTACTGCCACTGTGAGCACAGCTATGAAACGTACCTCCATCATCTGCAAGTAAAAAAAAGAAAGTACTCAGTTAAGGATTTTGAAATACACTTGAGTTTACAACTAAAAAGCATTTTGATAGCTGACTGATCATGAGTGACGCTGCAGTGACTTCCAAGCCACAACTAAGGAGTATCTAGAGTCACAAGTGCTTATGGCCCTCACTGAAGTTTGGCACCTAAATTTCTCATTCTAGGTGTGCCAACACCTGACACCGAACACCTAGACCTTCCCAGTGAATTTAGCAAAGAAAGGTTTCTCATTCTAGGTGTGCCAACACCTGACACCTCCCCAGTGAATTTAGCAAAGAAAGGCGGCTCTGCTTATCTAGACTGCAGGATATGATTTGGAGGATATACACCTTCTAAATCAGCTGGGACAGAAGAGATGCAGTGGTAGAATAGTTCTTTTAAACACACTGTTTTGTTATCTTCTCAGAATTTTCCAATAAATGGTACAAAACTCACCAAGTTTTTGCTTAGGCCTTGTATTCTCAGCCTCATCTCCGTTAATGGTGACGCTCACAATGTGCGTGGTGCTGTTCGACAAACCTGGGTCCAAGCAGAGAGCTGCCAACAAGCACACGTAGGGGTTAATTTTTCAAAAGCAGAAGTCAGGCAGCTTGAAGTTTGAACAAAAGCTTTCACAGCAATAGATCTGAGACAAGAGGAGAACATGTGTTTGGCATATGTTCATGCTGGAAGAGCTGTAAAAGTTTGTTTTCAAAGGTTCTTAAAAGTAATGTTTCTGTAACTCTCAGCTCTTTCACAGCTTCCCTGGAAGACCTGTTTACTTGCCATTCCATAGACTGAAGATTAAACTGTAACCTATAAATCCCTTATAGACTTCCTCAGCTATTGGAGTTTAATTTTGTCATCACCTGTCTCCACCTCTCTCAGTCCTCAGCATGCAGTTGTACCCGATAATCAAGAGCCAAGTCTCAACTGTAAAGACATTTACTTGAAATCATGTCATTTGCCTCACCTTTTATGTACCCTCCCAAGTTTTATTTATAATCCTCATTTTGCCTCCATTTTGTTTTATGTAGGAAGCATTGAATTGGCAACAATCACGTTCCAAAGGATCTCTGGATTTATTCCAATTATTCTCTCCTTTCTTTCTGGCTGGAGAACGTGAGTACTGTCACCTCCCCACAGCTGACACAAAGGTGACCTCCACTCAGACTGCATCATGCAGCTGGTTTTTCTACCTAAGTTCACGGATGTTGTTCACATTAAGTCGAGCAATTCAGACCTTTATACTAAAATGCCAAATCACAGCTTGAATAATTTGTTTTTGTGGAAAAGATCTTAATTAATAGCAAAGTCTTTCTCTACAGACATCAGACTGTTACTTTAGTCCTGGATGTTTAACAGGAGTTTAGCAACTGACACGGCATCAAGGACGAGAGTCTCATCAGTACAGCCCTGGGATGCTACTCTCTGCTAATCTGCCTAGACTTTTCTGCATTGATTTTTCCTTTGGTTTAGAGCATTTTAGACATTTAGAGTACCCATCAAAGGCAGAATTAGCTTTGTGTGAGGGAAAAAAAAAAAATCAAATACCTGGAGTACATTCAATGACTTCCCCCTTGTACCCAGTTTCTTCCTCCAGCTCTCGCAATGCAGCGCTTTCTGCAGTCTCATTTTCCTCAATGAGGCCTGTGAGAGAAAAAATACACATGCATGATTAAAAAGTGAGCACTTACTCCCAGTACCCATCCTGAGACCTAATCCAGCTTTACAAATGACGTGAAACATTGTCACTACCCTTTTTTTTATAGAGGGATAAACTGAGGTGTTAGGAAAGATTCTGGTTCCAGGATTCATCATGCTGCTGCCCATGTCTTCAACTGATTAACTACAGGAGCCTGCTGCCTCCTTAGGAAATGGCATTAATATTCTCAGAAGGGAAAGATGCCAAATGCTTTGGCTCTTACAGAATGAAGGAGTGAAGGGAAACACAATATTCTACTAACATGCTACTGAGCAAAATGCCTCCAATCTGCTAAAATAGACTATGTTTATTTTGTATTCTTCCTTATGAAATATTCCTATTTCTGAATAGCACACGGAGCTACAGAGACCACCATGGTTTTCCAGTTAGAGCTACTTCAGTAAGATGGACACTCCAAGCACACCTAAACACACTTAACTGTCAGCTTTATGTGACTCACCTTAACATTTCAGTCACTTACCTGCAGGAAATTCCAAGCAATAGCCGTTAATTGGAGGCCTGAACTGTTTCACTAGGACAACACAGTCGTAGTGGAGAGTTCTCTGTAGTACTGCTATCACTGCTACACCTACAAACAGCAATCAAAGACACAAGTTCATAGCATTTGAGTACAGCAGAAAGTGAGTATTTAGTGCTAAATCTGGAGAGGAACCAAAGTACCCTTACTCTGAGCATTAACCATTTAGATGCTTGCTGCAGAATCCTGAACTATGAATTTAAGCTCCTTATATCACAGGTGGCAAGAGATAAAAGCCCAAAACGGGATCTTCAATGTACCCCAGCAAACGGGAGGCACAGATACCAACAGACCAAGCCTTAGCCCACCGATATCTAGGCAAGGACTCTCTTGCCTGCAGAGACTGTTTGGAAGCTATTGTATGGAACCCCCTCCTACTTTCCTTTCATGGCTAAATCATGTCCCTCTTTTGCCCAAAGAACTGCATCCCTAGCCCCTAACAGCAGACCCGGCTCACCAGTCCGTGAGTGACTCTGTATCAGGGCATCCATCATGTCTTTAAAATTGCTCCATCGTTCTAAAGTGAATACAGTGATCTTGGGAAAACACCCCTACCAGTAAGGTTCTGATTTTTCAGCTCTGATGTTAGCATTTCATTAGCTCAGGGGTAGAACAAGCTCTGCTGAGCTATTTGTTCCACACCCTCACTCATTCAGAAATAGATCGGCTCTAACTCTGCGCTGTGAGCTTATCAGAAGAACTTTCACAGGAAAAAATGCAAAGAAAAAAAGTCACCAGTGTCTTACCATCAGCTGAAACGCCCTTTTTCTTGCATGTACGCTTTACAGTTTCCCAAGTTCTGTTTAACACAGAGAAAAGAACAAATGAATACATTAAAAGGAACAATATCCATTTCATTTGTAAGTCACCTCCTACTATTGCTACTGTTCACAGAATCCCAGAATGTCAGGGATTGGAAGGGACCTCAAAAGATCATCTAGTCCAATCCCCCTGCCAGAGCAGGAACCTGTTATTTAAAAGCAAAATATACCATCGCACAAGGAGGCCCTGTAAGAAAAGAGCTGGCCTTAGGCAAGCCCTGTCATGTACTGGCATTATAAAATGTCTGTAGTATCATTTTATTCTGCCTACTTAAAGGAGGGAGAGAGAAAGACATAAATGATTGTCACAGAACAGGCAAGTCTTATGAAAGTGATCCTGGAAATGTGCAAAATAAAGCAATTTATATATAAAACATGTCAGATTTTTAAAGACAGTTTCGTAACAAGACCATTATATACATTCTAGCTTTTCTCATGCTTTTGCATAAGGTTTATAGTGTAAGTTATTGTGAAGTCTCAGCTCAGTTACTTGAGGACATGAGGAGCACACAGCCAAGGAAGACCAAAGCTTCTCTCAAAATGAGTTGAGTAAAAACCAAAAAACCACGAGGAATAAAAATCCTTTCACAAAAGCTGCCATCTTTGTTCCTTTTAAAAGGATACTTTGCTGATGAACTGGGAGGCACTAAAGAAAGCAATCAGTACAGAATCTTAGTACATTTAAGGGAAGGGAAGTAAAGGTGTGTTGTCACATTTAGATAAACACAGCAAAACCAAAGCGTAGAAAAGAACTGGACAGGTGTGATAATATGTCAGAGGAGAGTAACTTGTCAGTAATATGTAAGATCCAGCACCATAAGCAGGGAAAAAGAAGGCTCTAATAAAGAACCAGAAAACCCACGGGACGGACTCTCTGATGATCCATTTGCATAGTTAGAACTTGCTTCTGTGTAGCGTCTTTACAAGGCACAGAAAATGCAAGATAAACCAGAGTCCAATGTGCCCAGAAGAATTTAGGAGCCAAATTTGATCCCACATGCCAGCATATCTGCAAGAGCAGGGTTGTTTTTTTTTTTTTCTTTGAACAGTACAGACTATAAAGGAATTGCACAACCAATAGATCTCATCTTGTGTTGAGTAACAGGTTTGTAACGCTCATATTCTCCAGCCTGGGGCTAGTCCGTACAACTGGGAACATTAAAGGAATCTGAAATGCCAGAGAGGTAATTACCTGGCTTTACCAAAGGGATCAGTATAAGTTGTTTCTTCAAGCTTCAACCATTTTCTTTCTGCAATTACCTAAAATAAAGAATTCTTTATTAAATACATTATAAGATTAATCTCAAAGGTATTTGGGGGCTAAGGGGAGAAACAACACAACTATTTTTGGATTCTTTTGAAGCCAAAATCTCAGCATCAGAATACATGCAGGAACATGCAACAACATTCCTGTAGCTATTACAGAAAAAAAACCAAACCTTTAACCCAAGTTCTTGAACAGGAAGAGAAAACAGGTCCAGTAAATGTTAGTAATGTGACTTTTATAACCACCTTTTAATGAATTCAGTGGGAGTTTATGTACTGGAAAGTCCTCATCTTTTTAGAAGGATTTTGCAAAGGTCATTGTTTCAGCTGGAAAAGAAGGAGGGTCACTGGTCTGCACAGACTTTAGCTACGCTGGCGATGGCGAGTGCCCACTTATCAGAGAGCGTGGGCTAACAGCTAAGCAGGCAGGACTGACATCCAAACTATTCTGAAACTTTTCTTGCCGTGATCTCAGACTGGCCTTGTGTAACCGCTGTTTTCTGTAACTGTGAGCAGTGACACCCACCTGCCCTTTTAGGATTTCTGAGAGCTGCTGACTGAGTGCTTGGCATTAACATTATTACAACATGGCATTTCTGAGCTAAATGAGGTTATTTGCCTTGTGATGTTTCCTCATCTTTCATGTAATTCCTTTAAAAGGGAAAAATCCCTAGGTATTAGCCCAGCAGTTTACTATTTTTAATGCAACTTTTATTTTAAGCTTTGCTAAAGGGTATAGGCAGACAAGAAGCTTGTCTTCAGAATTTTCTATCAAGTTGGCCATAGGTCTGACCACAGAAATCAGAAGTAAGATGATCAAATCACCTCCTATTGTCTAATGAGACAAAAAGTTGACAGCAACAGAGCAAGCATAAGCAAGGGGAAGATAGGATCTGGGGAAAAAAAGCCCACATTATTAAATTTTAGCAAAGGATGAAATCCAAAAGGCCATGTATGTGGCTGGTGCTACAATCCTCTAGCACAGGACAAGAGACAAAAAGGGCCTGTGTGGCCATGTAGATCTTGAACTCAAAACTGAGAGATTCACCAACTAAAAAAAGAAAGTAGAAAAATGAAATGTAGTGTATGATGCAGCTCGAACTAGAGGCCAGAAGCACAGTACAGCTGGAGGTAGAAGGCAAATGAGAAGTGATTCAGGTGTCTATAAATTATAACTGAGCTGGATGAACTCATGTAATTCTTAAAATGTGTTCTTCAGAACAATTATTTTGATAGGCAATTGAAATAACAACAGCACTCCTATGGGTGTAAACATGGCTACATGTAGGAATTTTGGCATTTATTTTGGAAAGCAAAATACTTCCATGTAGCAGGAACTGGAAAAGGAGAGCTATGTCTTCTCAAAAGGGCTTTCTAATGGCTTTGTGGTCACAAAAACAGCAGGAAAGGAGAAGATGAAGTGTATTATGCTCATTACAGGTACAAGAAGTAATTCCATTTGGAAGCATTCATGTATGTTTTAAATAGCTTTGTATTCACTCCTAAAATCGCTGCAGAACTAGAGTACAGGAAGATCCAAAAGAGAAATAGATGAAAATCATGTTCCATTGTTGCCCAAGGCGAGGAATATATATACTTTCAGTTAAGTAAACACAGTCAAATATCTTGTGTTAGTGATTTTTTTTAAACACTGCAGAGAACACAAAGGACTAGATTATGGATTGTGGTCCCATATTGCTGCAGCATTCAACAGACCTGGCAGATCATTACCCCTGTCACCCAGCTATCGTTTGCTAAGCAGAAAGGGGAAAAAGTCAGAACCACATCACTGTCCCCAGGAATCTTAGAGAACAAAGAAATCCCTAGTCTGTAAGAAATCAGACCCATCCAAACTCCAAAAAGCCAAAAAAAAAGGGAAAAAAAAGAAAAAAGTAGATTTTATGTGTACAAAACTAAACAATGTCAAACAAAGTATCTTGTTTGTAATCAGGTATTCTTAAGTACAGCTTTTAGTCTCTACTGTGATGGAACAAACAATACTTAAAGAGTACTATAGGAGACGTAGCCTAAATATTTCACAATGGAAGTGTTCCACAGTCCTCTAAAGCTGGGTGAAACTCTTGCTGCTAACAGCCTACAGGGTGAGAAAACTGGAAGTTGCCAGGTTTCCCTAGAAGAGAGAATTTTATTGTCATGTGGCTTATCGGGGGCACAATTAAAACCTGTGGAAGCTGGCCCCAAAGTGTAATTTCTGCTTTGCTAAATCCCCTATTTAGGGCTTAAGGACACTTTGCAGGGTGTGTTGCACTTACTATACTCAGTTTTAGAACGAGTTATTTTTATTCCTTTATCTATTACTCTGATGGGCTGTTTGCTTACAACAGCCTGACTGTGGGTTCCCAGAAACAGGAAGAAGAAGGTCAGCTGCTACTTTCCTGAAAGAAGATATTCCAACATCAGACCACCTGGTTACTGAAGAGTTACAGAACCACCTTCAATCTAAGGGACACTGGCAGATGTGTGGTAAATATTCACCTGTATTAATCCCACAAAATGACTGAAAAAGCTAAATAGCTTAAAACATGTAAGATCTAATTACAAACTTCCAATGGCAGCAAAGAGTACAATATTCCAAAGAAGTAGTAAGAGGCCGTATTAAAAAAAAAGAGGATAAAATGAAAATGTTAACTACAAAACCAATAAAAACACAGGTCTTCATAGAAAACCCAAAAAGCTTATGAAAATGAAACCTTTATGCTTGAGAAATATTCATATTAAAACACCCCCCAAGGGGAAAAGCCATAAATATAGCCCAACAATGTGAGTCTCTTCTTTCCTGAAAAAGTTTTGTACCTTGAAACCTAAAGAAATTACAACACTGTGTTCATTCCATGGAAAGAACGCTGGATAAAAGAAACTACATTTGTGTTATAACAACAGCATGACAATGTTGCCAAACCTGCCTTTAACACCAAAGATTAGCTTTTAAGAATTCACTTAAAAGAGAACTGAAACAAATATAGGCAGTTTAAATTAGGGTAAAAGTACTCCTAATAAGCACCCAGAAGTACCTCCAAATTCCTTCCTCAGGACTTGATATTTTCTGATTCTGTGAAGATATGAGTACAATATTTTTGAAAAAAATCTTACTACCTCCTTACTAATGTCTTTAGAATAGCAATTATCTAAATTCAAAGCCTTTCCAAAAGCATCAAAGAAGGTAAAGTTCTAAATGTTAAGGCAACTCTTAGTGGTTCATCCTAAAGAAACAGAAACAAGGCTGAGTTTCACGATCCACCCATCTCCAGAGTCTCTCAGAGGTATCAGAATTATTTCTGAACACTGAAAACAGCCTGAACAGACAATACAAAAAACAGCAGCAAAATCCAAGAAAAGAGAAGCTTAAAATAACACAACACTGTAGATTTCTCTCTCCCCATTGATAATTTGTATAATTATTTCAACAAAGAGAAATGCCACCTTTTTTAAACTCTCTGGCCATCAGGAAGAAGTGTTTTGTCTATTGAACAGACTTTACAAACATACAGCATCTACAGCAATTCTTACTCTGCACTCACAAACATTCTGATTAGTCTCAAATAATTGTTCTTTAACAACAAACATGTGACAAAACCAAGCATGTTATACCTCTTCCTTAAGGACGAATTGTCTAGCAGGTTTTGGAACTTCTGTGGATGTCTCAGCTGCCATTTTCAGGAATGTCAGGCTTTTCCCCTCCTGTGCAAAGTCCAGATTACTATGAAACAAAGTCAATATTTGCTTTCAGAGTAAAGTTAAAAGGTTCATTTCTGCCTTCTAAATTGACAAATAAAACTTGCTGGAGAAAGTGAGGGATACGTGATGCCAAGTGCAATTCACATTTTCAGCTCCACCTGATGGTTTCAGAGTCAAATAACTCAAAGGAGCAGCGGAAGTTTGGGTCAAATCTCTGACTTAGTTGGAATAGTCCTATCAGCTGATGAGTAGCTACGCTGGCTGAAGACACCCTCCTTAACTATTCAAAGGTCAGACACATGCAGAGACAAAATTGATCCACTGAAGTCAAATTGTTTCATTTTGTTCTGTCAATACAGCGTTACCCCAACGGGACTACCCACTCCACTGTGAAAGTGGACAAAAATGTTATACCAAGAGGACTTCAGGGGTAAAAGTTGTCTGCTATTGAGAAAGAATCAGAACTAGAACCCACCTCCACCTTACACACATCACAGATGAGCACGTAAATGACTTAATCCTTTCCCCAAAAAACAAGGTCAAAAAGTCACCTGTGTGTTGCAAGTCTCGGTGGCACGCGGAGTTAGTGTGACCAAAGCATGTCAGTCTCTCTTACTGGGAATGATGTGGCTAACGCCGTGCAAAAGGCAGATGAGTGCATGCCCAAAGCAAGGCTCTGCACCTGCAGCTCAGTGCCTCAGCCTGCATCCTAATGCTCCCCAGGAAGAGAAGGCTCCGGGGAGATCTTATAGCAGCCTTCCAGTACCTGAAGGGGCTACAAGAAAGCTGGGGAGGGACTTTTCATAAGGGCAGTTAATGACAGAACAAGGGAAAATGGGTTTAAGCTGAAAGAGGGGAGGTTTAGATGAGATATTAGGAAGAAGTTCTTCACTGTGAGGGTGGTCAGACACTAGAACAGGTTGCCCAGAGAAGTTGTGGATGCTCCTCCCTGGAAGTGTTCAAGGCCAGGCTGGATGAGGCTTTGAGCAACCTGGTCTAGTGGAAGGTGTCCCTGCTGCTGGCAGGGGGGGTGGAACTGGATGATCTTTAAGGTCCCTTCCACCCCAAACCATTCTATGATTCTATGATTCTAAGACTGGCTGAGTACTCACTCTCTCAATCAATTTCTAGCTGAAAGGCACATCAGGCAGCAGAAAAATACAATGCATTAGAGATTCACCACTGTCTCCTGTCTCACTGCGCAGCTATGGGGCACTTTCAGCACAGAAACTCCTGTTCCAAAGAAGCTCATCTCTGATATTATGTCATAACACTGAAGTCCAAAAAATCAGCACGAATCATAAGCAAAAAGACAGTGCAAAGAAGCAAACCAGTTTAAACACCAAGAGTAATGACATAATCTTAAAGATCTCTATCATTCTGAGCACTGACAGTCGTAAACTTTCCATAAAGTCAACAGGAATCTTTCCATTGACTTCAGCTAGGGTTTAACGAGGCTCTGTGGGGTCTCTAGCAATGAACAGTATCAGGAGTGAGTGATCACCCTTGTCATACACAATTTAAGCACTTTCATCTTTTACATCATCTTTACCCTTTTATGATAACATCTACTGCACATTTGTGAGACAATTAAGAGCATGCAGCAACATAAACTTTCTTACGTACAAGATGTGGATTTAATTCCACAAAGTAGTTAAGAGGAATAGGTAGTACAAAATATTTCTGGTTATCAGCAAGATTAAAACTAACGTACATAAATCCATTTCCTCAGTATGCACACACGACAGGCTCTTTCTTAGGTCTCAAGACAGTCTGGTTGGATGAAATAGGTCACAGTGGTCAATCCTTCAAATTGTTTTTATGTAACATAAATCCTGAAAAGGAACCCTGACTTACTAAATCAAATTCTGTTCTTTCAAAAACATATTATATAATCCTTGCTTAAAACAACAAAACTCCATCTTAAAACTACACAGCTTTACTATCTGCCTTATTATACTATTTGATGAAAACCTGTTCTGGAACCTCACTTTCTTCTCTTCCAGTTTCTGTCCCATGTTAGCTCAGTTAGCTGTTAGCCGTTTGTTCTTGAGCCAGCAACGTCTCAATCTCTCTTCACTTCGGATTTAAGAGCTGTAGCTGGGCAATGGCCATGGTCTCTTGCTGTGACTCTAAAATACGAGATCCAGCTTTCCACCAAACTTATGCAAAACAGCCCAGCACAGCAGTTCCAAGGGGTTCCTGGTCATCCAGAGGAAACACTCAAAGGAGGCTCTGAGTGATGCCTGAAGTATCCAGCTTTAAAAATACAAAAACCTCACATACCTAGCTACAAGTTTACCTCCTATTTGTGGAAAGAATTATAGCCTCTTTGATTGACAATATAAATGTAGCAAGAGAGTAGATAGTGAACCATATCCTTGCTAAACTTTTTTAGTCTCCCCTCACAGGAAATCCTGTTCCACTGATCATATCAATCCTTCTACATAAGCTTAAAAGTATCAGTTTATCTTCCTCAAAGGTGGATTACCACAATTGTACCCTAAATCCCACAAGCAGCTATAGTAATGGTTTGTACAACAGAATTAAAACGTACCTATATCAGCTACGAGTATCTCCTAGAACCTCATCTCACGGCAGAAGCTCTTTTCAACACAGCTTGCTCTCTTCCACAGTGGACAGGTTCAAGGATGGCTTGCAATTTAAAATAAAAAAAAATATAAGCAGTTTCAGTGGTTTGAATTATCACTAGAATCTAAATTAGGTGAAAATGAGACAGCAGGGGGGTTGGAACTAGATGATCTTTAAGGTCCCTTCCAATCCTAACCATTCTATGATTCTATGATCTACCTCAGCCTCTGTAGTTTTGGTCTCCCCCACAAGTGGGTGCAATAACTCTATGTAGAAGTGACATTTTAAAAAGTTCCACCAAAAAGTAATTTTTTTCCAAATTCAGTTGACTGTATAAAAGTGAGAATTGCTGCTGTTAGAAATACCATTCAGTTAAATGAAGGCTGCAGTTCTGGTACCTCACATTAGTCATACTGTGTCACACCTTTTATTCATCAAAAAATTAGCTGCAACTGAAAATTAACCTTAATGCTATGTTTCTAAAGCCCTGTGTGAGGTTTCAGATTAGACTTCGTCTTGCAGCCCCCAGACAGGAAGGTTCTTCCATCTCTTAAAATTACCACTGCATCATTTGAATTAAAAATGCAACACAGCTCGGACAGCAGCCTGGAAACCTGATTACCTGACTCACAATTACATGAACTCTATGAATATGAATTTTTAATAGTTATCAGTGCAATTTTAAAATACGTCAAAGGGCCCACTGTTATCACTGTTAGCACAAATAACAGCACCTGAACTACAAATTATGGGAAAAAAAATGTTTGGTCCGCTTCTACCTTCTCTGATTATTTTTGTGGCTTGTATTACAGGCTGCTGCTGGCAGACCATGCTACTTGTTCCATTCCTGGAAAAAGCATACCAGTTATAAAAGCTGTAAGAGGGGAGGTTTAGATTAGATATTAGGAAGAAGTTCTTCACTGTGAGGGTGGTCAGACACTGGAACAGGTTGCCCAAGGAAGTTGTGGATGCTTCTCCCTGGAAGTGTTCACGGCCAGGCTGGATGAGGCTTTGAGCAACCTGGTCTAGTGGAAGGTGTCCCTGCTGCTGGCAGGGGGGTTGGAACTGGATGATCTTTAAGGTCCCTTCCAACCCAAACCATTCTGTGATTCTATGATTCTCATTGCTTATTCCCTTTTTGAGTGGATTCCTCTCAAGGCCACGTCCAACCATTCCAGTTTCCAAATTATCCTTCCCAGAAGTTAAAATCTTAAGCCAACTGAGGCCTGTGAATCAGCTTAGAGAGTGGCCAAGCTACCGGGGCCGTAGATCAACCTGTCCAAGTCACAACAGATGGGTCAGCTTTTCTAAATCACTTTTCAAAAGGTGATTCTCTAATCCAAGCTACAAATCCCAGCTGACAGCAACCAGATTTAACAGAAGCTCAGTGATGGTGTTCCAAGGCAAGCCCAAGATAAAACAAGATACTAGGATTCTTATAAAGTGCAAAAGGGACACTGGCAGCGTTTTATGCACGATTTAACCAACAACACGCCGAGAACATCACTAAAAGCTCCTACATCACTTTTAAACTTGTTACCATCAGTCGGTGCACTCGCTTTTCAGCAATATGATTCTAACAACAAAATCAATTAAGTAGCAGAAGCTGATGGGAGAGAGGGGGGAAAAATGTTTCATTTTTGTCATGGTATGTAGCAGCACGGATGACCCGCTGAGCACCAAATAAACTATGAAAATATAACAGGTTCTTGCCCTGCAGAACAGACGATGATGACAATTATCTTTCACAGGCAGAAGAGGGTCAGCAGCATCTCCGTATTGTTATCAACCTTCCAGACAGGGACGTGTGAGGGGACTTGGGCTTCAAAGCCTCACCCGGGTGATGTGAGCGTATTTGATGGAAGTACCTGATGGAAACGACTTGTCCCTCCACACAGGGGACACAGAGAGACGATGGCAGAACCACGGGGCTTTACAAAAAGCACATATTGTTCACTTATTACTTAACTCTCCCCAAAATAAAACGAAACGCAGCCCTGCTCCGAGGGGAGGGAGGAAGCTCTGCCGCTGGAAATCTCTGTTATCACGCTGGAGAGATGAAATCTCAACACAAGCACATGCAAAGCAAGAACGCGAAGCCGGCCAGGCGGGGAAAACACC